GTGTTTCAAAGAAGGGAAGTATGCCAAGGTCCTCAGTTGACTTTAGATGGGTGAAGGTGATAACTGACATTAAGGCCTTTCTTTTATCACAAAAAAATGAATGTTCAGTTGTATTAGAAGATTCCTGCTGGTTCAGCATTTCAAGTCTGGCATACAGATCATGTGAAGTCAAGCTGGATGACTATAACAGACCTAAAACTATTTTTACCAGGAAAAACCGCTTGTATGAGTTCTGCATCATGTCATTTGACCTGTTTGATGTGGTCACAACTTTTGAGTGGTTAGTGTAGTTTACACTGAAGGGGCTGCAATAGAAGAGATGCCTCGTCTACATTAAAGATGTTTTGGTGTTTTTTGCACACATTCGAATCTGTGTCTGAGAACCTGAGAATGGTATTCCAGTGGATAAATAAAACAGACTTGAAATTAAAGCCTGAAAAATTTTTGCACATGTGAAAAATGAAATTTATTGGTTAGTCTGTAAAGGAGAGAAAGAGTCTCTACAAACCTTTTAAAAATAGTATTTTATATGCAAGAAGTCCACACTTTCGTTATATTACTAATGTTTTGTGGCTATCTTCTGCAAGATAGCTGCAACATTGTCTGTTCTCACTAAAACTGGTGTAATATACAATGCCCTCAAGGCTAGTCATTGGAGCTTCGACTGTACTACCGATTACACTAAATTTATTTAGTTGAGGATTGCAGTGGCGAGTGGAGCTCACAAGTCGCTAACTCGAGGTAATTTACAGTTAGAATAAAGAAACGGGTTCCAAGACTGACATTGAACAAAATACATCATTTATTAGGTATACACTTTTAACATCAATAGTTAAACAGTTACCAAACCGTTAGTTTCTTTCAATTCTAATTTTCACTTTTCAGTTAAACACTATTAACCAATACATATAGAATATACATTTGCTTTTATGTTAAACTTATATCAAAGTTTTCTTCATTACCCATTCAAGCCGTCTCCAGCCATTATTAGTCTCAAAGTGAGTTCCTCGTCATCGAATATAGAATATATACACAGCGTGGTCACAAGTAAATAGACACCACCTTTTCAGAAAAAATGAAAATTTTCAGTCATATTCACATGAATTTATATATTTATAATTTAATTAATATCTAATAGATCTTCCTTTCGCTTCGTGGAGTTCGTTGATCCTTTGGGGCATCGAGAGAATCATCTCCTCAATTTTAGATTGTGGGATTTTCGCCCACACTTGCTTCAAAACTTGGAGTAAATCGCTCTTCGAAGTTGGTTTTTTGGTTGTTTCTTGACTTGCCGGTCGAGTATGACCCAAAGGTTTTCGATGGGATTCCTGTCAGGAGATTGGCTCGGCCAGGGCAACTTCTCGATACCATTTTCTTCCTGCCACTTTTGGGTGTTTCTAGCAGTGTGACACGGTGATCCATCTTCCTGGAACAACGTTATGTTCTTGTCCACAAAACCCGAGGAATAAAGTGGCAAGAGTCCTTCCTCCAATATTTCGACGTATTTTGCAAAATTTATGTTGCCAACGCACTTCACTAAGCTCGATCTCCCACCAACCCAAACAGCTCCCCAACCATCACGCTGAAACCACCACGCTTCACAGTTGGCTGCAATCTGTTGAGCCAAAACTCTTGGT